GTAACTTTTCAACATTTTGTTTGTTTCATTTGCTGTTATCTGGGATAAGTCCAAGCCTTAAGGAAACAAACAGGATCCTCAGAGCTGTACATGTGGCCATCTGCATTTCAGATCTCTTCTCTTCCTAGTTGGTCAAAGGACGGGACACCTGGGTGGATCCATGCAATAGGAAATGCCTTGTTGAGGTACGGAGAGGTTCCACTTTGTTCTGATTTAATTTCATGACTGATTCATTGTATAATGACCCTTTAGTATTGCTTCATCCATATGAAGGCTTCATCATGGCTTAGGCCCGGGGTACTTGCAGGACCATCTCCTGCCACTCTCCCATTGTCCCATGCGCTCTCACAGAGTGGGCCTCCTCAGGGTGCCGTTGGCCAAACAATGTCGGCTGATGGCCCCCAGGAGGACAGCGTTCTCTGTAGGAGCCCCGATCCTCTGGAATGGATTGCCCACCTAGCTCAGGACAGCCCCCGACCTCCTTTCCTTCCATCGCGAGCTGAAGACGTAGCTCTTTCGTCAACTCAACTGATCCGTTTTGGGTGTACATTGTTATAATTTTAAATTGTTTTAATTGGGCTGTTGATTTTAATTTTATTGTGATTTGTATTGGAAACTGTCATTTTTGTAAGCCGCCTTGAGTCCCTCAGGAGAAAGGCGGCATATAAATCGCGATAATAAATAAATAAATAAATAAATATAGCATTCTTCATTATTTCATTTTGAACAGCATCAAACCAGCAAAAAAGTCCGCTTCAAATACTATTTACAGGGGGAGGGAAGGGGAAGGTAACTATGATGATAAAGGCTTTTATAAAAAATCACTTTCATAAAAGTGAAAAATCACTCAGAGTGAAAAATCACACAGAAATATTGTCACTGAAAATTTGAAAGGGTTTAGTTTTGGCAGAACTGTTTTTGCATTTGTGATCTCACTGGTAAAATATGCTTGAATAGGTTGTATAGTGTAAGTATGGGAAAGATTGAGAACATTTTAACTTGGGATGATCTCACCATTATATGCATTACCACAGGGCACAGCTGCAAGGAAGAAAAAGCCAAATCACCATAAATGACTTACAATCACATATAGCTAATGGTGCTGTTTTGTTCTCATGTATGCCACTAAACTGGTTATATTCACTCTAGTTCCTTTGGGAATTGTAAAGATATATTAGTTTTGGTCAAATTACTGCTGAATGGCTATGGCTGCTTTCCGCAGTTGGATGTTGCCATGGGATGATGGGAACTGCAGTGCAACACAAAGGAAGGGCATAAGGTTGTGGATGCCTGGTTTATAGAATGTTATGCATACAACGCTAATATTACTGCAATTCAAGGATAGACAAATCTAACTTAAAATAAAGCTTCTGTAATCTTAAAAAGTCACCAAGAAAATTAATCTGTAATTATTTTTCTTTTAGACTACAATACTGTAGATTATTCTTCTATGTAGCTTCAAACAATGGCAATTTTATTCTAAGAAGGGCTATGAATCGAGAGGACTCTTAGTTGATGTGGTCTGGATGTTTATGGTTTAGAAATGGTAATCTTAATTCTAAGATTTTTCTAGCAAAATTTCCTTTTTTTAGATTAAAGGCAAATTTTAGATATATTGAGTCTTCTTCTTTATAGATATAACTCCCCTGAAGAAAAATACTTTTCATTACATTAGAATTGTTATCCTGTTTTATTTATGAAACATATATTTAAAGCCCTGAATATGAAATCAGATTAGACATGTTAAGAATCTGTAGCCCATTCCTGTACCATTCATTAATGTTAGTAGCAGCCATAAGGAGATAAAAATGTCAAGATGGCAGCCACAAATATGCAATTAAAGCCCCACCCCTTTTTGTATTCCATATTTATTATCTCTCTCCCGTTGCTTTTCATAGGTTTTGTGACAGCAATCTCTCATAGTTTTGTTTTTTTAAAAAATCTTACTTGTCCCAAACCCCCACAAATACATGGAAAAACATTGTTGCTGAAGGTCTCCATAAAGAATGTATTCAAAATTAATGCTACCCTCAAAGCATTTCAGGTTTTTCAAGGGAATATTCCTATATATTAATTGAAGAAAAGAAATACTTCAAAGTAACAAAGCTTACAGATAATTCAGCAGCATCAAGATTGCACTTTTCGAAGTTATTTTTAAGGAGGAAATATGTTAAAATGATATAAGTAACCCTAGCAACTTGTTTTATGAATTATATTTCTCAAAGCTTCTTTGAAAAACCCTTGGTGACTCAAGATATATTGGAATTATTTTTTGTTTTTGAACTTGAAGTCATAATGATGTTATTGAAGTTTTAATATGTAATGCTAGTTTATTGTTTTCTAATACCTCTGTAACAGCCAAGAGTCCATGAAGACTGAAACACTATATTGCAAACATAAAGTATATGTGTAGTATAACATTGCTTACAGCTCAGGAGATAACTTGGTATCCTTAAACTCAGTGCTTGCCAAATTTCCTATTCACCTGACTTTCATTTTAAAAAATATTTTTCAGTTTAGAAAAATGGAAAGCTGGTCGGCTGAAAGTAAAATGCCAACTCCAGCACAAGGTTTATTTTGAAAAAATGCCTCATGGAACACTAGTTTTATGAGAATTCTTAGAAAGTATAATTTTAGAAATAGTGAATGTTGTGGCCCAATGTTTGGGTACAAGCCTGAAAAAAGCCAGAAAAAAGCCAAAGGTACATACTTTTAATGTCCCTATTCACTAATCTCTCTAGATAGTTTGTAACTAATCCGAGGTCTCCATTTTACTGGCCTTGAAATACTATGAAATTCAAGACATAACCAAACAATTACCCAGACGGTGCTTACTCTCTTTTCCTTATTCAGACTGGTTTTTTGCCTTTTCTCAGCTAATCACTCAAAGACTGTAAAGAACATCACCCAGCCCAACTAATATGCTCAATTTAGGTAGTTCCACTATGATTGATATATTTTCTGTGCGCCTTGTGCTATGCGTATTATAACTTTAATAGTACTTTTAAAATATTTTTATAATGGTTGTTTTTATGTTTTATTTAAAGCCACCCAGGTTGCTTTTTGTGAGATGGGTGTACATTTGATTAATTAAATATCAAAAAATTACCTTTGTGTTCCTTAGCACATGCATTTGTCTGTATTAGTGTGGGGATCTTCAAAAATCTGAGTGATTTCTGTAATTGGAAGTTATTCAAGGAAAAGCTGATTGTAAAAAAATAAATAAAAGGAAGCGTTCAGATCCTCCAAAATCTTCCCAGGCAGCAAGCCACTGTTCTCCTTTGTTGCCTTTAGTGCCTTGGTGACTTCAGAGGAAAAACAACAGCATATGGAGATTTTTACAGCTATGAGCTTTCCCTGAAAGTTATGGTTACATATTTATTGTTTTTGGAGGAATGGGGAAAATTTAAGTTCTGAATGATGCATTTGAAAACATGTGCTTATGTTACTACAAAGCAAAAGATGATGCCCATGCTTTTTCTGCTGAATTTCAACCAAATACCTGCAAATAGTACCACTTTTTTTTGCTCTCCAACATATGGGAGCGAAAGTAATCTAATTTACCGATTTGAAGACAAGACATAATTCAATAAAAAGGAAATAAATAACAAAGGGTAAAATAATGTATCAATATTTATGCAAATGTACTAATCAAGTGCAAGTACCCTCATAGGAGGGTAAACATGAATTTATTCCTAAAGAAAGATATAATTTTTCATATTTGGTTTACTTTGAAAAAAAGACAGAACATCAAAAAATAATGTTGAATCAAATAAAAGCTCTCATTAAATTTAAATGTATGAGTGTAAGATAGAGACACTATTTTTGCAAAAAGATTTATCAGTGATTTCATCATATGTCACACATAATGCTTTGCCATTTCATTTTTCATTGAAGTAGGGTAACTATGTCATCCTACAATACTGGGATTTGATTATTAAAAATATTAATAACTACATACTGCAGCCTGAACCTAAACATATTTAAATGAACCATAGAGTTCCCTGGAGAAACTAAAAGCCCCAAAGGAAGTGTCTATAGGTGGAGGAGATAATTTTGTATAATGTGGGATATGGGCATTACTTGCAGTTTAAAGTAATTAATTGTAAGAGTAATATTGCAATTACTATTACAATTAATTGCTAGGTAATGAAAAGTAGTTCTAGATCTATTTCTAAGTCCATTTCCTCTTCATCTTTGCCAAGTATGCATACTATATGATAAACCTGACATGTAATATTGTTTTCTCTGAAATGTGTAATCACGAAGGAATTTAATATTGAAGAGGGCTATCTGCAGTTTTAACACATGAAACATGCACACATTCAGAAGTAAGTTCCATTCAACTCCACAGAAATACAGATGTGTCAGATGTTGGTGTAATAGGAGTAAACTACTTTGAAAAATTTTCATGCTAAGTGCTAAGAATCTACTTTCAAAGAACAATTTTGTTCTTATTTACCAAGCTTTATTTTCAGTAATAAAGGGCCCAATGCAATCTTTTCAGAGCTGAATTTGGGAATAATTTTTTTCCACTCAAAATAATCTAGAAAAGAATTCTTAAAACTATTCATATGTGCTCTTATTATTCAATCCTAGACCAGACAGCTTGTGAGACTCTAAAAAGGGCTCTCTTTGTCAAGACTGCTGACTACTTATTCCCCCCCAAATAAAGACTCATTGAAAAGTCACAAGATATGAGAACAGAGCATAAAGAAATGTTAATTCCTGGGGAATAATACACTTATTATGTTATATTGCTTTTGACTATTTTTTAACAGCTCTATACACTGACAAGGTCATTTTGATTTCTCCATCTGCAACATTTGGAAATATTCTTTTGAGAACAGTCCAGGGTCTGCTATCTACTAATAGAAATAACAGAGATGCCCACAAAAATTCCACATGGCTCCTGCTGGCAAAAGTGTTGCTTCTTTGTTGAGGTTGATTCTATTCCAGTTTATCTGGAAAGTTCATATACATCACCGAGGACTGCAGAACAGTTTTAACCTATTCTGTTCCCAGAATTAGGCACCTTTTAACTTACAGACATTATTCCAGACTAAACACATGCAAAGATGCGATTTTGTGTAACATTCACTCAGATTTACAGAAAATACAATATAAACTAGTTATAATTTACATTTGTGCAAGGCTTCATTACCTACAATGTTTAAGTAGTGTGACTCAGAACATGCAAATGATACTTTGAACATGTTCCATAAAAATCTGGTAGCACTTTCATCTATAGAACTGATTTTGATTGAAAGATGTAAGAGAGCTTCAATAAAATTCTATACTCAGAAAAGATGCTACGTGATTCTTTGCCACACTAGAGTAATGTGGCTCTTGCCTATCATGTCTTTGAGCATGTTGAGAATATCTTTTATCAGTATTGTACAGTCAGCAAGATACAAAATTACTTTAGCTGAATTGGGACAAGACCAAAAGCAATCAAATGCCTTTAAGAAACCCTAACCCATTATCCCTGGAAGGGAATAATGAAGACCATCTCTTTTTCCTTGCTCTTCCAACCCAGGAAACATTTCTTCCATGCGATGTGGCTTCTGAATTTCATAGTTCCTGAGAATTATGAGAATAAGGATAAGCAGACATAAAGGTAAGAAGAAGAAAAAATACCCAAGAAGATAAACTGTTAGATGCAGCTCTTGGAACCAAGCAAACACCCCACCATTCATTAGTCTACAACAGCATTAGGTTATTAGGCAAACGATTAAAAAAAAAAGCAAACGGTTACTTAAACATCTTTACTTTTTACAAGGTTTTCAATCCCCTGTTCAAATCTTTTCCAGAACATCCATCCTAGCATGCAATTTTATCCGTACTTACCTGGGAATAAATCCCATTGGCTAAATTCTGAGTGAACCAGGTAAGACTGCACTGGTGAGGGCGATTTAGCGGATTAGCTCTGAGAACTACCTTCGACTTTTCCCTCTTTTTAAAAAATTATGTGACAGACCTGCCATCTCACGCCTGTCTCTTCGGATGAGTTAGGAGTTCAAGGAACCATAATTCCTGTTCAGCACAGCATCATGGGAGCTGAAGTGTTCAATATGCCAGGGCGGGTTTGGGGAGAAGGGGAGGGGCTAAATAATTCCGACCTCATCCGGCCACCTGCTCCAAGCCCCCACCTTCACGGGCCTCAACAACAAGCCACGCCTTCCCCGAACGCGCGATGCGAGAGAAAGGACGAGTCAACGCCGTCCTCAGTTCCCAACGTGACATCAGCCAAGTCTCTCGCGCAGGACGGCTTTGGTTTAGGACCGCGTGACGCCTGTGACGTTCTCCAGGCGTGACGCAGCGGCGCAGAAGGTTGGGAGGGATCGTCTCTTTTTCTTTTCTTTCGGCGCCTTTAAATCTACGTCAAGCCTATTAGCTCCTCCTGACTGGTCGCACGCAGGCACGCACGGAATACTAATTTGGAAGCCTAACGGTCCCGATATCCCCACCCCGCCCCACCTCTGTCAGCCGGACCTCAAAAGCGCTGATTGGTAGCTTTAAGGTTCAGGCTGGTCTGTGCTGCCTCCGCGACGCACCTCATCCCCAGGTGGCGGTTCGTTGCCCGCTAGGGGAGGGGGAAAAGGTTGTGAAAGGCTGTTCGGCGGGCATTTTGTTGCGGTTCTTTTGTCTGGTTAACTGTCAGCTAGACAGTTCAAGAATCCTGGAGCTCGCCTGTGTATGAGATCTCAGAGGGATGGCTTCTAAATTCCGTTTAAAAAGAGTACTTCATCTCTCTCTGGATTATTTCTTTTTTATTTACCTCACAAATCTAGTCACAAAGGAACGTCAAATTATTTTATGTATATATCGGAAGAAGGTCCCACTGCTCTAAAGAGAGGTTATTTTCCAAAATTTGTGGCAAAATTGTGCAGGGTAATAAATTAGACTGGAAAGTCATCGCCTCCAAAATAGTTTACATGGTGAGCTTTCCTTTCCCACATGGTCAGTTAATTAGTATAGCCTTTGTCATCATTGTACATCATGTATACAACGAAATTGGTTTTAGCCTCACTGGTGCAATCCATGACAAAAAATATAATATAAATAGTATAAAGAATAACCCTATGCAAGTAATTGGGGGGGGGGAGAAAAAAAAAGAAAAACTAGTCTTACGTTTCCACGTGTGCATGGAATGATTGTGGTTGTGTTTAAGAGTCTGACAGCCCAAGGATAGACACTCTAAACCTATTTGTTCGACTGGCTATGCTTCGATGTGTTCTGCCTGATGGTAGAAGTGTGAAGAGACACTGACTAGGGTGTGAATCATCTCTGAGCATCTTTCTTAGTCTACTAAAGCAGCGAGATCTGGCAATGTCATCCAGTGGTGTTAGAGGGCAACCAACGGTTTCTTGTGCCGAATTTATTTATTTATTATTTATTCAATTTATATGCCGCCCTTCTCCGGAGATTCAGGGCGGCTTACAATGCGTTAAGCAATTGCCTTCATACTTTTGTATATACCTGCTTAGGCCCCCCACCCATGCGGTGTTCTTTTTTATACAAAGTCAGCTTATTGCCCCCACAAACCGGGTCCTTATTTTACCTACCTCGAAAGGATGGAAGGCTGAGTCAACCTTGAGCCTGGCGAGATTTGAACTTGCAGTAATTGCAGGCAGCTGATGTTACTTAACAGCACTTTAGTCTGCTGCGTCACTAAGGCTCTCTGTAATTGATCACTCTCTTAGTGCCTTCCTGTCCGCTGCAGTTAAACCAGCGTACCATACTGTAATGCAGTATGTGAGGACACTTTCTATCGTGGACCAATAGAAAGAGGTCATCAGCTGTTGTTCCACCTGACTTTTTCGCAGGACTCTTAAGGAAATGAAGTCTTTGTTGGGCCTTGCCAATCACCAGGGACATTTTGTTTTTCCAGGTGAGATCTTGACTAATAAGCACTCCCAAAAATTTAAAAGAAGAAACCCTATCCACACAGTCCCCTGGATATACAATGGGGCAGGTTCCTCTCTGCTTTTGGAAATCTAGCACCATCTCCTTTGTCTTACTAGTATTTAGATGTAAGTTGTTTTTTGAGCACCATATGGATAGCTTCTGGACTTCTTCCCTGTATGCTGATTCGTCCCCTCCAGTTAAGAGACCCAGCACTGTTGTGTCACCTGCAAATTTTATTTTGATGTTGGATGGATCAGAGGATATGCCGTCATGTGTATACAGTGAGTACAGGTAGGGGCTGAGCACACAGCCCTGAGGGGAGCCTGTGCTGAGCTTCAGGGTAGAAGATGTAAAGGAACCAACCCTTACTGTTTGTGGACGATCCGTCAGGAAGGCTTTGATCCAGTCACAAGTGAGGGGAAGGAAATTCAGGTCAGTCAGTTTTTCAATGAGAATGCTTAATAAAATGGTATTAAAGGCCGAGCTATAGTCTATAAAAAGCATTCTGACATAATTCCCAGATTTCTCAAGGTGGCTCAGTGCAATATGTAGAGCAATGGCAAGGGCATCCGCTGTCGACCTGTTACTTCTATAAGCAAACTGGTATTAATCGAAATTTGGTGGAAGACAGAACCTGAGGTTTTGTAGGACCAGTCTCAAAGCTCTTCATCACTATAGACGTCAGTGCAATGCGTCTATAGTCATTCAGGCTTTTATGGCTGCTTTCTTCAGAACTGGGATAATTGTGGCTGCTTTCAAGCATGATGGGACTCTAGCCTGTTGCAGGGAGATTTTAAAAATCCTTGTCAGGACCCCTGCTAATTGGTCAGCACAGGTTTTTACCACTTTCTCCAGAGCACCATCTGGACCTGCAGCTTTGTTGGGATTTACAGCCTTCAGCATAGCTCTCACTTGATATTCATGAGTGGCTGGAGGTTAGAGGGCCTTTGGGCTAGAGCCACAGAGACAGGTCTTTTGACCTCAAAGTGGGTGAAGAAGCTATTTAGCTCCTCCACCAGCATGGCATCAGCATTGGCTATTTTTTTCGTATTGTCCTTATAGTTGGTTAGGTGTTGTAGCCCCTGCCATACCTGTCTTGAGTTATTATCTTCCAGATGCTTCTCTACCTTTTGTTTGTATTTCTGTTTAGCCTCCTTAATATCTCTCCTCAAGTTTGCCCTGGCCTCATTGTATTTGTCTTCATTTTCTGCCTTGAAGGTGGAGTTTCGGGCTGTCGGAAGTGATTGTACCTCTGCTGACATCCAGGGTTTTCAATTACTGTAAACTCTGATGCGCTTATTCACTGTTACATTGTCTGGGCATGTTTTAATATAAGAGAGTAGTACAGCATCATTGAATTCTTGCAGCTCCAAATGTTCAAATATACTCCACTCGGTAGTCTCAAAGCAGTCCTGCAACTGGCAGTGTGCTCCCTCTGGCCAGATTTTGACAATTTTCCTGACTGGCCATATCCTTAAGTATATCCCCTAAGAGGCACAGTAGCAGAAAATATGGGCACATAGGAAACGTTTTAAATTTTATCGATTTTATATCTTAATGTAAAATTGATATTTTTCATTGAAGATTTTTTTAAAAAGGAAATATACTTAATATATTGAATGTTGATTAGTAAATTAAGTCAGAAATGAAACCAGAAGTTTTTCTGTTAGAACTATTGGAAAATAGTTTGAAAAGCTTGAAAAAATGTAGAGCTCTGTTACAGGGGTGGGTTCTACTTACCTTTACTACCGGCTTGTAGTGGGGCCACGCGCAAGTGCAGAAGCTTCTGCGCATTTGCAGAAGCATTTTGATAACGTCGGGGTTGGTGGGCGGAGCCTCCCGCCAGTTTGACTACCGGTTCTATAGAACCGGTGCAAACTGGGGGCAACCCACCACTGCTCTGTTATATGTTGAATGCAATGAGAATTTTATATGCTCAAAAATGGAACCGTCAGTTCCCACAATGGAAAAATGGGTGGAAAAAATATGGAGATAACAAAATTAATTGTTTTAATTAAGAAAAGAATGTATCCAGCTTTGTTTCTACTTTGAAACTACTTCAGAACTTTATGCTCAAAACAGAAAAATGAATGTTTGATTTTGGGTTTTGATGATCAGATTAGTTTATTGATATAGAAATGGCCAGTATTTCCTAAATATGTAGAGTTAAAAGTTGAGATTGTAATTTTATATTTTACTATACTGAAAATTGCTGGAAGTCACTGCTTTTTTCCAGTGGTGAAATCCAATTTTTTTTATTACCAGTTCTGTGGGTGTGGCTTGGTGGGCGTGGCAGGGGAAGGATACTGCAAAATCTCCATTCTCTCCCCATTCCTGGGGGAAGGATATTGCAAAATCTCCATCCCCACCCCACTCGGGGGCCAGCCAGAGGTGGTATTTGCCAGTTCTCCGAAGTACTCAAAATTTCCGTTACCAGTTCTCCAGAACGTGTCAGAACCTGCTGGATTTCACCCCTGCTTTTTTCCCTTTCCCCTTTTTCCCTTGAACTTCCTTCCTTTTCTTCCGTTCCCCTATTATCTTTTATATTATAACTAACTTCAATTTGTTCAAAGTTTAAAAAAAAATAAGTTTGAAAAATCAGATATAGTTTGTGTTGAGTTAATACAAATGAAAAAGTTCTTTCGAAATTAAAACCAATATTTTAAGAATATTTTGTGACCATGAGCAATCCTGCTTTAATTCCTTCTACTTTATCTGATATGATCTTTATATCAATTGTTCTTATTCCTCTTGCCTTTTCTTGAAGCAGATAATATTATTTTAGTAGAGTAGTTAGAATTGGGGATGTTCTTCTTTATGCACGTAACTTCTATTGAGGTAGAGTTGTAGCTGCAGCTTCTGTAAAACAAATGATATGGAACACAAATTGCCTTCATAAATCCTGAAATTTCTTGGCAATTCTTTCCAGGACAAAAAGGTAGAAAAATCTAAGGGATTGCCTTTTTCCAAGAGTCTCTACCCATCCAACCAGATCAAGCGGAATGGGCATGCTGCAGATTCTATCAGCCAGAGTGTTGGCTGATTGGTTCCATGAGAAAAGCTTTTTCTGCAATGACTCCTGCTCTATGGAACATCCTCCCTTCAGAGAGTAGAATGTTCTGTTAGCCTTTTGTAAGGCCCTAAAAACTTGACTATATTCTCCAGCCTCAGTGCTGAATATGTTAAGGAGCGCATTGCTAACTGCCATATATATATATATATCTCCTTAATACATTCAGCATGTGTGTGTGTGACTGTGTGTGTGCGTACACGCACACACACACACACATACGTATATGTATATATACTTACAAACTTCAAAATACAAATAAGAGAAAAAATGTAATCAAGAAAATAAATAAAAAAAATAAAATAAAAACGCTTGATTAAGGTAATTTTAGAAATCAATTCATAGTTTCTACAAAATAGCTATAGAAATTATTGACCTCTCTTCCAAGCCATATGGCTGTTGAAATGAGA